TTTTTGGCGATTTTTTGGCGATTTTTTAGTGATTTTTTTGCAATTTTTTTGAATTTATTTGGATTTTTTCTAGATTTTTAAATGAGATTTTTTTTAGGATTTATTGGGATTTTTTCAGAATTTTTTGAGGAATTTTTGGTGATTTATTGCGATTTTTTTGTGATTTATTATGATTTTTTGGGGATTTTTTACTGATTTTTTACTGATTTTTTTTGAGATTTTTTGAGTTTATTTGGATTTTATTCCTTGTTTTTTTATTGAGATTTTTGGTGGGATTTATTGGGATTTTGGGGAGGTTTTGCAGCTGCTGCCGCTGCTGGGGCTGGCCCTGCTCAACCTCGTCTTCCAAAATGATCCTGAGCCCGACCCCGAGGACCAGAGTGAGTCTGGAATTATTGGGAATTTTTTTGGAATTTTTTGGAATTTTTTCGGATTTTTTTGAGGAATTTTTGGTGATTTATTCCGATTTTTTGCGATTTTTTAGTGATTTTTTTGCCATTTTTTCGAATTTTTTTCCAGTTTTTTCCGAAATTTCTTGTGTTTTTTATTGAGTTTTTTGTAGAATTTACTGGGAATTTTTTTGGAATTTATTGTGACTTTTTTGTGAATTTTTTTTTGTGTTTTTTTTTTATTTTTTTTTTTGTTATTTTTTTGTGATTTTATTGCATTTTTTGGAATTTTTTTGAGATTTTTTTCTAATTTATTTGGATTTTTCCTTGCCCTTTTATTGAGCTATATTCTAGAATTTATCAGGATTTTTAACTGATTTTTTGGGATTTTTTTGACATTTTTTGAGGATATTTTGTGATTTTCTTGTGGTTTTTTTTAGAATTTATTTGGTTTTTTCCTTGATTTTCAATAAGATTTTTTCTAGGATTTATTGGGATTCTTTTTAGGATTTATTGGGGATTTTTTTAGGATTTATTGGGATTTTTTTTGTAGGATTTATTGGAATATTTTTTAGGATTTATTGGGATTTTTTTGAGGAATATTTGGGATTTTTGGAGGATTTTTGGAGGTGTTTTGGGGAGGTTTTCCAGCCTTTCCTCCCCCAAATTCCCTTTCTTTCCCCCCAACCCCCCCAATTCCGGCTTTCTGGAATTCCCAACCCCAAAATTCTCAAAATTCCGATTTCCAAGATCCCAAAAATTCCCCAAATTTCAGGACCCAAGTTCCCAAAAATTCCCAAAAATCCACAACTTTTGATCCTTGAACTCTTTGATTCCGGGGCCGTTTCCCAGTGTTTTCTCTCCCAAAATTCCCATTTTTTCACTCCCAACCCCCCAATTCTGGCTCCCTGGGATTCCCAACCCCAAAATTCCCAAAATTTCAGGACCCAAGATCCCAGAAATTCCCAAAATTCCCCAAAAATCCTCAACATTTGAGCCTTGACCTCTTTGATTCCGGAGCTGTTTTCCGGCATTTCCTCCCCCAAAATTCCCATTTTTTCACTCCCAACTCCCCCAGATCCGGCTCCCTGGAATTCCCAACCCCAAAATTCCCAAACTTTTGTGCTCCAAGATCCCAAAAATTCCCAAAAATCCTCATGATTTCTGAAAATTGAACACTTTGATTCCGGAGCCGTTTTCCAGCGTTTTCTCTCCCAAAATTCCCATTTTCCCCCCCCAATTCCGGCTCCCTGGCATTCCCAACCCCCAGAATTCCCAAAAAACCCCCAAAATTCCGGATTTTCCGATTCCAGAGGCGGCCGAGTCGCGTCTGGAGGTGCTGCAGGGCCGGCGGGCGCTGCCGGCCGCCTTCTGCCGCCTCCTGCTGCGGGGGGGCTGGCACCCAAAATCCCCAAATCCCACCAGCCCAAAAAAACAGAATCCCAAAATTCCCAAAATTCCGAGACCCAAGATCCCAAAAATTCCCAAAATTTTGTGCTCCGAGATCCCAAAATTTCCCCAAAATCCCCAACTTTCGAGCCTGGAGCTCTTTGATTCCGGAGCCGTTTTCCGGCATTTCCTCCCCCAAAATTCCCATTTTTTCACTCCCAAACCCCCTAATTTAATTCCCATGGAATTCCCGGATCCCAAAACTCCCAAAAATTTCAGGACCCAAAACCCCAAAAATCCCCAAAATTCCCCAAAAATCCCACGATTTCTGAACATGGAACTCTTTGATTCCGGAGCCGTTTTCCGGCGTTTTCTCTCCCAAAATTCCCATTTTTTCACTCCCAACCCCCATAATTTGGGGTTCCTGGCATTCCCAACCCCCAGAATTCCCAAAAATTCCGGGATTTTCCCGTTCCAGAGGCGGCCGAGTCGCGTCTGGAGGCGCTGCAGGGCCGGCGGGCGCTGCTGGCCGCCTTCTGCCGCCTCGTGCTGCGCGGCGTGCTGCGGCTGCGCGCCGCCGCCGACGTCTTCAAGCACTACTGCAAGGTGGGGTTTGGGGGCAATTCCCGGGATTTGGGGCAATTCCCGGGATTTGGGGGGAATTTATGGGGATTTGGGGGCAGTTCCCGGGATTTTGGGCAATTCCCGGGTTTTGGGGGGAATTTCCATGATTTTGAGGGGAATTTCTAGGATTTTGGGGAGATTTTATGGGGATTTTTGGGGGAGTTTGTGGGGATTTTGGGGCAGTTCCTGGGAATTTGGGGAGAATTCCCAGGATTTTGGGGGGAATTCCTGGGGTTTTGGGGAGATTTTATGGGGATTTTGGGAGGAATTCTGGGATTTTGGGGGGAATTCCTGGGATTTTGGATAAATTTATGGGGATTTTGGGCAAGTTCCCGGGAATTTCGGGGATTCTGGGGAGGATTTATGGGGATTTTGGGGCAATTGCTGGGATTTTAGGGGAATTTATGGGGATTTTTGGGGGGATTTTGGGAAGAATTTCTGGGATTTTGGGGGGAATTCTTGGGATTTTTGGGATTTTGCTGCTCTGATCCTTCAGGAATTTTGGGAATTCCCTCTGGGCCATTCCCAGTTTTTGGGCATTCCCAGTTTTTCGGGGACTTTGGGGCTCTCACATTCCCATTTTCCCCCATTTTGTGGCTCTCTAATTCCCATTTTCCCAGGATTTTGGGTCTCTCTAATTCCCATTTTTCCGGATTTTTGGGCATTTGCTGCTCTGATCCCCCATTTTTCCGGATTTTTTGTCCATTCCCAGTTTTTCGGGGACTTTGGGGCTCTCACATTCCCATTTTTCCCCATTTTGGGTCTCTCACATTCCCATTTCCCCGGGATTTTGGGAATTCCCTCTGGGCCATTCCCATTTTTCCGGATTTTTTGTCCATTCCCAGTTTTTCGGGGACTTTGGGGCTCTCACATTCCCATTTTCCCCCATTTTGTGGCTCTCTAATTCCCATTTCCTTGGGATTTTGGGTCTCTCACATTCCCATTTCCCCGGGATTTTGGGAATTCCCTCTGGGCCATTCCCATTTTTCCGGATTTTTTGTCCATTCCCAGTTTTTCGGGGACTTTGGGGCTCTCACATTCCCATTTTCCCCCATTTTGTGGCTCTCTAATTCCCATTTCCTTGGGTTTTTTGCCCTTCCCAGTTTTTCGGGGACTTTGGGGACATCCTGCGGGAGACGCTGCGCTGCGCGCGGGACCTCGACCGCTCCGAGTGGGCGCGGACGCTGCTGCTCAGCCTGCAGCAGGTACGGGAATTTGGGGGAAATCTGGGAATTTTGGGGAATTCTGGGAGGTGTCCGGGCTTTATTCCGGGATTTCCGGCCTTTTTTGGGTGGTTTTTTGGGATTTTTTTTTTTTGTGATTTTTTTGCAAAGTTTTTGCTGATTTTTTTGTGATTTTTTGTGGGTTTTTTGGGCGATTTTTTTGTGATTTTTTTTGTGATTTTTAAATATTTTTTGCGATTTTTTGGCAATTTTTTGTGATTTTTTGTGATTTTGTGATTTTTTTTGCAATTTTTTGCAAATTTTTTTGTGATTTTTTTGTGATTTTTTTGCAAAGTTTTTGCTGATTTTTTTGTGATTTTTTGTGGGTTTTTTGGGCGATTTTTTTGTGATTTTTTTTGTGATTTTTAAATATTTTTTGCGATTTTTTGGCAATTTTTTGTGATTTTTTGTGATTTTGTGATTTTTTTTGCAATTTTTTGCAAATTTTTTTGTGATTTTTTTGTGATTTTT